GGGGCGGCCTGAAGACGGCGGCGGAGGAGTGCGGCCTCGACGTGCTCGGCGCCCGGCAGCGCGGCTGCGAGTCCAAAATGTGCTTCCAGCAGCAGGGCCAGCAGCTGCTGGAGGCCAAGCCCAGGATCTGGTCCTTGGCGCACACCGCCACGTCCCTCAACCAGGCCGAGTACCCCTCCTGCATGCTGAAGCGGCCGGGGGGCTCAGCCGCCACCGCCGCCTCCGCCCCGGTCGGGGTCATCGACAGGCACCAGGATTCGCCGGTCACCAGCCTGAGGAACTGGGTGGACGGGGTGTTTCACGACCCCCTGTTCAGGCACAGTACTTTGAACCAAGCCCTGAGCAACACGACAGTTTCCTGGGCTACCACCAAAGGAGCCATTCTGGAAACGGGCGCTTTGGGACGCGCGGTGGGGAACGGCGCCAACGTGCTCAAGGGGCAGCTCTCAAACTTGGCCCACCAGGACTCGAACAAAGAGTTTCTGGCGTTTCCCAAATCAGGAAGCAAAATGTTTTGTTCCTAACAGGCCCCGCCGAGGGGCGAGGGACTTCCTAACGCTTGAAGAGTCAGCTACACTGAAAAGAGACTTGCGAGAGTTTAAATTTAAATATAAAACTTTTCCTTTTTATTTCTTTTTTTTTTTTTTTTTCTTTTCATAAACCAAAACAACAGAAACGAGGATTTAAAGTTCCGTTTGCTCAGTTCAACGGACAGACTTTGCTCATTGCTGTTCGGAAGAATTTCTCCTGGCTGCGACTTTAAGGGATCAATGTCGTGAAAGTTATTTAATTCCATGTCCAAAAAAAAAAAAAAAAAAAAAAAAAAAAAAAACAATACTATAGCTTAGGCCTACTTAAAAGTTTACATCCGAAAGTTTACAAACGGGAAATTTTAATTCAGATTTAATTTAAGGCATGCCGACATTAGTTATAAAGACTTTTCGAGAGTTTTTTCCTCCTGATTTCCTTGTTAGCATATAATTCACAAACAGCACTTCTACTAAGTTTACACTTACTGCACAAATTTATCTCGACGAGAAAGAGAATATGTTAAAAGGTATGTTCACTCCAATAAATGGTCTGTTTCAGAGGTAACACAAGTGGTGGCGTTTTGCATTGAGCAGCGAACAAACACCTTGGTTTTTTTTTTAAGTTTCAACGTTTCCCCTCGGAGGCGGCGGCAGTTCCGAGGGCTGTCAACAGGCTGGCGGGCAGCGGGGAGAGGAGGCTGGAGGGAGCGAGGCTGCGGGGTTGATGCTCGGGGAGAGGAGGATGGAGGGAGCGAGGCTGCGGGGTTGATGCTCGGGGAGAGGAGGATGGAGGGAGCGAGGCTGCGGGGTTGATGCTCGGGGAGAGGAGGATGGAGGGAGCGAGGCTGCGGGGTTGATGCTCGGGGAGAGGAGGATGGAGGGAGCGAGGCCGCGGGGTTGATGCTCGGGGAGAGGAGGATGGAGGGAGCGAGGCCGCGGGGTTGATGCTCGGGGAGAGGAGGATGGAGGGAGCGAGGCGGCGGGGGTGATGGGCGGGGGGAGGCGGA